GGGCCATAAAATAATTAATTAAAATGCGTGTATCGAAGAACAAATTTGTTAAAGCATGCGGTTCGATATAAAAAAAAAAAACAGAAATGATATGCGGGGGTGTTACCAGAAAAATCTGGGATATGCGATTCGACCCACAAGACGCCCTCACTGTGGGCTGTTAGATAATTTCCTACGATAGCTCAGGCCCCCGGTATAGGATGGTTCAAGTTAAATAAATAAATTTGAAGTGCCAGCGGATAAATGCGTAGAAAGATTATTTAAGTGATGCATTTTTGTAACATCTATTTGCGTAAGCAGAAGTTGACCTGGTTGATAGGGTTTCTATTGTGTACTTATGCTGCGGTCTAAGCCTTGACCAAAAACTGAGAGTAGTAGAGCCTCTGACTAATTTTGCAGTTCCGCCTATACCTTGAACTATACAGGTAGAATTAGTATTATGTCATAGTGTTTTTGTGAACCTGGGTCAATAAAACATCGCACTAACACGTGTTTTCCTCAGAGGCCCGCTACCAACACTTTTACAGTAGGCAAGATCTCGGTCTTTAAAGTAACCTCTAATGGTTATGAGAAGAGCGAGCATAGCAAAACACGCTTCTGTGATAGTTCCGAGGTGTCAGCCGGACGATCCGTTCGATAATCTTCAGAAGAATACTTGGGAAGCGTACCCAAGGCTTAGGCGGTGAATTAATAAACTTAGATTTACGATTAGTAAATTGCCCAAAATGAAGCTAGGTAAGATCTCTTTGGCCGCAATTACGACAACTTTACTTAGACTTATATTAAAATGTAACATGTTACTACTAAGTTACTGTTACTACTAAGACAATCACCAAAAATTTTATTCGAATTTACGTAAAATATTTGTGTGTAAGCGGTTACAATATATGCCTGCGGTGCGCGGCTACGAGGCGGTGCTCGTTCCGAAATATTGTTAGAAGCGTTGACAAGGTTGTCAGAACTACGAGAGGGGCAATGTGAAATTTTTATTTGTTTTCTTGAATCGCGAATAGATATTTTATAATGTTTTGCAACATTGTTGATCGAAGAATTTAAGGCTAATGCGGACAAAAATAAAATCAGCTATGTCTTCGATTTTAAGACCTTTAAGATTGCCTGTAAGTGCAACGTATTTGTCTATGACCTGTTCTGAATATGTGGACTCTAGAGTATAAGTCAGCAAGAGTTATAACTGGTTTAAATCGCTTAGGCTAAAACGCATTAGATCTATAAAAGCATCCCATACCGACTTGTAATTCGCGACAGCTGGCACAAACCCAGCTGCAGTGACCTTACCATTAAAACTGTACATTAAATAAGGAATGCGAAATAAATAATAAATGAATTTTAAATATTTGATAAAAAGAAATAGAAACTCTTGAATGTTTTCATCAAATGTGGGAAGCTCAATACCTGAAAACTTAATAGAGTTTGTACAGTTTGTGCAGTTATATATTGGGTATGTTCCGAAATACAACCCAGTACATTGGCAAATGCAAATGACGTCATCTTCACACACGTCAACTGACACTATGTTGTACTGGCGTGCCGCCGCCATATTGCGTCGGATATCCAGCCACAATAAAACAATTTTTACTTCCATCATTATTCATTCCGACTTCTGCACGCATCACGAAGGGAGTACATAAGTCGCACTTTAAAGTTAACATAATTTTATTTGTTATAGTGTTAGCCAAAGTTGGTATGAATACACCTCCGCAAGCCACATCCAAACCCACATCTATCCTCGGAAACGGTATGTATGTGAAATAAGTCGAGAGTATGATGCAAGTTAGTAAACTGCGGTATGAGTGTTTTTCGTATAGATTAAGACTAACCAACGAGCACACAGTCCGCTTGGTGATAAATAAATGCTGTTGCCCATAAATATCTTCAAAAACCAATGATTAATCAACCAAGGTATATTTGAAGATCAAGAGAAGTGTCTGTACGGTGATGTGTCACTTGTTCTATCCTCCACGACTCTAGCGGAACCGCACCGCTATTGCGGCAGTAGTGAGTCCACGGAAGCAGAAGAGTGTTGGTGGTACTGATCTTCCGATCTTTTGTATGTGAAATTTTCCCTGGCCCTAAAGCAGCCGCATAACAGACTTGAGGTAACCCGTTGTGCTTAGATGGAAATAAACGTTGAGGAAGAAAACACACCTTGTGTTTCGGCGCACCGGTAGTTGTCCTCCTCTATGGAGATTCGCACTGGTGGAGCCGCAAATATATACGAATGCTTTTCCGTAGCCCAGCATTTATGTGGTGGAACATCATGGGATTTAGTCGTCGTAAGATCGACATAAACCGTCCTTAATTCGCGAGACAGTTCTCGAGACTTTTCTCGAAAACGAGGCGCATGTTTAATGTAAATTTCTTCCCGGAAGACATTGATAATAAAAATAAAACTAATAAAGATAGTTCATCCTGATCAACTCATAAATGTCTCGACTTGTAAAATCGCTCATGATCTTATACTTGTACCCTCAGAACGTCGTAAAAACCGCGCAAAACAAAAAAGTCTCTGCGAAGATTTTATTATGAAAACACATCAATTTCGTAGCACCAGTATTATTTTATTACTTTTTATTACACATAGCTGTTACTCAATGCAAAAATATGCATAAATTCTTTTTTAAGTTTTAAAATATTCTTTTTTCACTATAAATCGTAACAATCAAGTAACGCGGAAAGAAGAAGAGTAGTAAAGTAATAAGAGTGTTCTAAAAGAAGTTCTAGAAGAACAGTATAATAATGTATTCCAGACCGAATTTCGGCCACGGCGGCCTGCCTCAACGGAATTTCTTTACAGAAAAACTCAATAATTGATTTTTTGGCCCGACCCGGGATTTGAACCCAGGACCTCATCAACAGTCGCACTACTACAACCGCTAGACCAACGAGGCAAAAGAACAGTATATAACCTATGCTACCCTATTTCCGCGATTACGACTGCAACACAAGTGCTTATAAAGGTTAGTAAAAAGAGCCGGCAACCCTTTCAAGTGATAACATGATTTTCCATATTAATTCTCTTATCATTTTTATGGAACATTTGAAAGTTTGTCGTTTTTTGTAAATAAAAGCTGTCAATTAAAGTCAGTAAAAATCAACTGTCGAACATAGGTTGACACACTTGGCGAGCGGATTGTCAAACGCAGATTTTTAAATATTTTGAGTGGTTTTACCAGGAATATACTGCTGCCCATTCCCTGTTTCAATTTACCCCTGTCGCCTTTTATGACACCCACGGGACGATATAGGAAGAATATCCATTCGTACACTGCCCCTACACGGACTTCTCAACAATATATTTTTATGCCACGAAACAGCAGTGCTTGCATTACTGTGTTCCGGTCTGAAGGGTATAGAGGGCCGATATGATTACAGACTGTGAGGCATTCTATCTTAGACATCGATGTTGAAAACGCATCAGTAACCTTCTTTTTACGTGAAGTTGATTGCCGGTGTCCATAGGCTGCAGAAGTCACAAAAGTAAAAATAGTTGTGCCAATGGAAATAGAAGTGGCTTGCTTGGCTACCACAATAATAGACCACGAAAAGGCGACGTGTGATTCATATCGAACATATTCACATTTTGTTTAATAGAAAAATGTAACATTTTATCCACCTATAATCTTTAGGTATTTTGTACTTATCAGTCATTCGACTGAGTAAACTTTTCCAAGATACGGATCGCGAAAGTAGTTTATTCTTGTTTGTAGCGTGGGATTATTTCTACCAACAATTGTACAAGGATATAATTTGTTTGAAGGCATACATTTCAGTTACGTGAAAACTGGTCCATAAGTTTTTTGATAACAAACAGTTTGTGTTTTGTGTAGGAGGTTTAGCAACATTTCTGTAAACTTACAGTCATTCGATAACCGCAAAAGTACAAGTGTTAAAATTAAAACTTTTGTACAATAGACTTCAACATAAATAAAAGGAAAAAATCATCAATGTAGTCGAAATCAATTACATACGCATTATTAAAGATAACTCAAAAACTACTGGTTGGATCCTAATTAAATTTATATGAGATTACATGAGAAGCACCAGCCTTTGAATAAAAAATTAATCATCAATATCGGTTCATTTTAAATAAAAATTGAAATGTGCTCGGCGCAGTGGCAGAGGTTATGTAATTTTGTATGTAAATAAGATATTTTAGTATTTCTTAAAAGAACCTCTTACCAGGTGAGGAAGAAGGGGGTAATGGATAATGTTTAATTTGAAGGGAGAAAAAATATTTAATGCTTTAAAGTAATTAAATAATAAAAATTACGGTTTTAAAACAAGGGTTCAAAACTATTTAATGATTATTGTAACTTTAAAATTGGTACGTATAGTTTAGGATTAAAATAATGTAATTAGTTTCTTTTTCCTAATATCTCACCTTAAAGTGTTAAAACCAGGATACATAGTTTGCGCAAAAAAAATGGTTGTCAATTGCATGGTGGTTGTTAAATCCGTAAAACGAAATTATGATAATTATGAATAATACTAATTATAGAACTTTACAAAAATCTGCCCATATTAATCGTTAATTACAAAATATTTAAAAAAATTGTCTATTTATCATTGTGTCCGAGTTAGTAATCCGACAAAAATATAGTGAGATCAGATACAGATAAAACGGCTTTACGTGCTTTCTGAGGCATACGGAAGAAACACTGCTAAACACTTGACTCCGAGCTGCTACTGAGAATTTCTTGATAGAAAACCCAACTGATTTTAAGCCCGATGACAGGTCAAAAACCTTTTCTAGGTTGAGTTTAGTTCTATTTTTATTTGTTTACAGGATGAGACAAAATACTCGTAGATTTATTAGAAGAGAGATCCTTACGCAATTTCATTTATTTTGTTAGTGTAGGTACTTAGTTATAGGGCGCGTTCCCACTATGTCGTAACGACTAATTTATCGTTCGACGACTGTCGTCTCTACCTGTTCCCATTATAACGATTGTTTGTCGTCAACATTTTTTATCGTTTAGCGACTGTCGTATCCAGTTGTTCCCAATGGATCGCTAAGATCGCTCGCATCATCAGCAAGCTACAAATCTAGTCGCCTCTGCGTTCGCTTGGTGATTACTAGTGCGTTTACTCTCCTGAGTTCAATGGACGAAGATGAAATTTTAATAATGTATTACTTTTTGAAAAGAAGGAAAATGAAGCAAGAAATGAAAAGAAGGTACTGGGTACATCCAATGTTAATGAAAAGAATTCCATTAGGATTATGTCAGAGTTATATAGAAGAATTAAAAAGTGATGATGGAAAGTTTTATGAGTATTTAAGAATGACTGTCTCCACCTTTGATAGCCTACTGGCACGACTTGCAGACAATCTTAGAAGAGAAAACACACATTTCAGAAATTGTATAAGTGCCGAAGAAAGACTAGTGATAACTTTAAGGTAATTAAATAAAATGAAAATTCTTTATTAATGTATACATTTATTTATTTAGAGATTTATTTTAGAGTTACACGTTTTATAAGTAAAGACATCTTTAAATTATATATTGTCAAAATTAAAAGAATCTTGTGTGCTATCAGACAAATTAGTATAGACTGAATTTGGTGATGCAGCCGGTTCCATAACTTGAATGCTAATCGAAGTTGATGCACCTGGACCTTGTGTAAAATATCCTGTCGGTTGTGATAAATGGTTTTGGTAGTCACCATAGTTTGCATAAGTATCATATAAATTATTACGAAGGCGTTTCTTTTTAATTTTTTCAATCAGTTGCATAATACCCGTTTGGAATTCAAAATTGTCATCATTGTCGAATGATGCCAAAGATGGTAAAATTCCTTTAATAAAGGACACATGTGGGTGTTCTTGATTATTTAATTTATAATCTAGAAATTGTGACATTTTATCATCTAATGTGTCAGTCTTAGTTTTCTTTTGAGTAGAAGGTGCTGCATCACTGAATGTATCAGAGATAGAATTATTAGGCTCATTAGATGAATCAGAGGTCATACGGGGCTCAGTTTAATAAAAAAAGACAGCTGATTCTTATAAACATACCGCCTAGTAGTTTTTGCGCCTGCACCAGATCGCTTTTTTTCTTTTTCATTTTTCAGGGATCTCATAAATGCATCTCGAATATGTGTCCACTTTGTAGATATCTGTGTAGCTGTAAAAGTAAAATAGACTTAAAAACTTACAAAATTACAATTTGTTTGTGTATAGATTTAACATTATATGTATAAACATATAATCAGTCTAATACGTAGTTAAATTATCACGCAAACATCTGCACGTTTTTCAGAGTTTAAAAAACTATAATAAGATCGAGTTTTTCCACTAGTATCCCCGGATGTTTCCGTGAACAAGTAACAACAAACAACAAGGAACAAGTACTACTACAAGGGACTACGTATTAGACTGATATGTTTATACATAATTATAATGTTAGGGCATTGGTCCTCGAATATAAGCGTATTATAATAGCTGTTGTATTTATTTACAGATATTTGGCGTCGGGATGTTCGTTTAAACAACTGCATTATAATTTTATAGTGGGAATGTCAACCATCAGCAAAATAATCAAAGAAACGTGTTCTGTTATTTGGAGCGTATTAAGTGCAGAATATTTAAAGTTGCCCAATACCGAAGAAGAATGGAAAGCGATCGCTGAAGCTTTTAAAACGAAAGCAAATTTTCCTCATTGCCTCGGTGCGCTGGACGGCAAGCACATAAGGATTACAAAGCCAATAAATAGTGGTTCTATGTTTTTTAACTATAAGGATTATTTTTCTTTTATTTTATTTGCAATTGTTGATTCAGAATACCGTTTTATTTACGTTAGTATTGGTTCATACGGAAAAGAGTGTGATTCATCTATCCTAAAACAATCCAATTTTTGGAAGAAACTAAATGATGGTACTTTAAATATACCAAGACCCACGCCATTACACGAAAATATGCAAGAAGAAATACCATATGTATTTGTTGGAGACGAAGCCTTTACATTGTCACAAAATTTATTGCGACCTTATGGCGGTACTCATTTAGACAATAAGAAAAAGATATTTAATTACCGTCTATGCCGCGCGAGAAGATATGTTGAATGCACTTTTGGTATCTTATCCAATAAATGGAGGATCTTGCATAGACCATTGGATGTATGTGCAGAAACAGCTATTGAAGTTGTAAAGGCTTGTACGGTATTACATAATTTTTTAATAAAAAAAGACGCTATATACTTGGAGAATACCCCAACCGTTATGCCCCTGGTAAACATGCCTGCAACACAGCTGCGTTCAAACGAAGGTGGTGGAAACGCAGTGCGCTTACAATTTTCCGACTGTTTTGTATCTGGAATAGGCTCCGTACCTTGGCAAAACATTACAGCACATGTATCATAATTAATAAAAAGTTTCAGAAACTTACCGAAATCTTTTCTTTCCTTTTCCTCCAACTTGTCAAAATTAGGTTCAAAAACGCAACAAATTTTTCTCCACGCGGCTAATTTCAAACCTTTGTCTTTATAAATGTCTAAAGTTTTGTCCCAAAGGACAGCCCTTTGTTCCACAAGTGGAATTAAAACTTCCGGTGTTATATTATTAGCCATTGTTATACGTCCACCATGCGCAGGAGTCTGACAAGTTCTAACACGCACAAAGCAAACCGAGTACAGACGCGAGGGGCGCGCGGGTGCGAGAGGGAAGGGAAAACACGTGTTCGTCTACATAGAGTTTTCGTCTACGATTTTTTTATCGTTTTACGACTGTCGTGCTTGCCGTTCCCACTGTCACGACAAAGTGTCGTCACTGCAAAAACTGTCGTAGACGACAGTAAATTGTGTCGTTCTAAATGTGAACACCTCCATTTAAACATATAAGCCACGACACTTAAAACTACACGATTATCTGTCGTCACGACACGGTGGGAACGCGCCCTGAGGTAGGCATTGTATATAGTTGTATATATTTCATCATCATTCACCATCATCATCATCATCATCATGTCATTGTATATAGTTGTTATATAGTTTTCATTTAAATTTGGGCAACATCTTATTTGGTGTTGTTAAGCCAAGTATTGGCTAGAGAAATTCGGGAGAAAATTAAGGATAAGGTTATTGCGGTCATTTTATTGTTTATTTACAAAATAAAACACAAGCGTGTATTTTGCCCTATTCGTTTCTTGGTGCGTTTGTGAGTCCGTTCATTTGTTTGTCTGATTGACCGACTAACTGAATGTTTATATTCAGATTAGTGTCTTTCTAAGTCATCGCGACAGTTTAATTTACAATAGCAAAAGTATTGACTCCACGCGAACGAAGTCGCGGGCGCAGCTAGTTTTAAATAAATAGTTTTGACTTTGAGTTAATATCTTAGTTAACTTGTCATAATTACGCGTGTAATATAGGGTATGGCGCCATCATAAGCCATCATCAGTATGAACTGTCAAAACTTGCGACTCAAAATAATAATACAGTATAAGCAATAATATATTTTTATAGGATAGGGTGACAAACTGGCACACAGTCCACCTGATGGTAAGTGGTTGCAGCGGCCCATAGACATCTACATCTATCCTCGATTACAAATCAAAATGCAGATGCGTTGTCACCCGTGATGACTAAGGTGGAATGCCTCGTTTCCAGTAAAATGGATCTCCGGTTCTCTACACTCACCATACGAAACACAGCAGTATTAAGCTACTATTTTACGCTGGTATTCTGTGAGAGCGTGGTCCTTCCCCGGTCGAGCCGACCCATTCGTGCTACAACTATACTACTAATATAACTGCAGCGTGGTTCTACCACATATAAAAATCGTGTATAAACCATACACGATTATATTATTTACTTTTATAATTAGTATTACATAAAAGGCATTAAATAGTTCATACGAAATCTATATAATTATAAATAGCATATCTTATAAAATTACTTTGATTTTTTTATATTGTATGCAGCTGTTTAAAAAAAAGCTGGCATCAGAATTATAATAAAATAGCGAAGTTCTGTAATACTTTACTATCAAATTCATCCTCTAAGAGCAATAAAGCTACATATTTGTTTGTAATCGCGTTCTCAAAATCGGCTCTAACAACATGGATGAAGTTTTGTAGGTACTTAAATAACGTTTTACTTTACAAGATTTGTTATATAGGTGTATTCTCAGAGAAAATAATAATATTTTCTAACGCCGTAAAATGTGGTCGCCTAGATCTACAATAAACTTTTTAGGAGGCTAATTCCTTATCCTCAAACGAAATATTAAATATCATGGCTTGTTAACAAACATTTAAATTAATTACAAACGTTTGCTATTAATAAGCAGCCATGACGTAATAAATTAAGACGCGAGAAGCACCTGCCCTCATAAAGTGAGCAAAGTTTAAATTTACATGGTTTGATTTAATTGCAGCAAGTAAATCCATTTCGTTTGTAAACTTTGCCTTAACACAATTTCCAATTAATTGCATAGTTTTGTTTTCTATTAACATGATAATAATATATTATATGGTATGTTGGAATTTATATATGACTAGCGATCCGCCCCGGCTTTGCACGGGTGATTTCTGGATCTCGACAACTGCGCCACCTACCTATTCGAATGTTGAATTTAAACTGTGCTCGAATCAACTTAATCACAGACACAAACTTTCATAAAAATCGTTCCAGCGGTTTAAGAAGAGTTCAGTCAAATACACACGGACAGAAGAATTATATTTTATTTATAAAGATAGTGAAATATAATCTGCAACCAAAATAAATTTCAATCGAAGCCCTTCCATCGCGTTACTTGTTTCGATCCTTCCGAGGGCAGCACAAGTTCAACGGTAAGCTAAGAGAAACTTATTTTAGCTCTTGAAACATTATGGCCGACTTATTGCCATTTTTCCTTACTGATTTGATTTTTGATTGATTCCTTACTGACAAGACAACAGTTAGGTTAGTTCCTGTGCTACTGTGGTTACCATTATTATGGATTTTAAGGCAGAAAAACGCCGATCATAATCATCTTCATAATATAAATTCGCTCGCTAGCTTCCTTATATATGCGGAGAAGGACAATGGAGTTTGTCGTCAAAAATTCAACTAAGTTAAATCTATATACAGATACTTATACTCATATAAATTAATCATTGTTTCGGTAGCAGTACATTGACTTGAATATTAGAATGTTTTTGTGACTATTAATCGATGAACTTGATATATCGCAAACAAACAATCTTATGTGTCATTTTGTATTATAACACGACTTTTGTTTTAGACTTACCACAGGCGCTAAAACAAACATCATGCGAGATGACATTATGTCCATTTATTGTAAGTAAAAGACTTCAGTAAAAACACAGCAAACGTGATGCACGCTACTTTTAAGCTACGAGTACGCGCAAATGCAGGCTTAGGTGAACAGAAGGCTAAACTATCGTCCTGCTTCAAAATTTGTA